ACGACCCTAGTTAAGCTAACTACAAAAAATGTAAGAACTAACAGTTTAAGGCATTAAAATCACTAATCCAGATTTTGCACCCATCATCCTAAACCTTAAGTCAAGAGACAACTTAGGAAACAAACAAACAATCATGATACACAATTGTTTAATTAACGACGACAAATTCGACCTCGTAAATACATCACACAGACAATCAGTAGGATCTATAATAAAAAAAAGACAAACACTAAGAAAGAAAACAATTAACAAACAAAAACAAACTATTAGGAAAAGTTTTTCAAAACAAAAAAACGCAGTCTCAGAATCAGAAACAACCGCAATACAAGAACTTCACAATTTAAAAGACTCAATAAACAAAAGTCACCTAATTGACGACCAACTATATTTCACTGATTCAGAAACCAACTCAGCAGCATCAGTAAAAGGTAAGCGAAAAATAAAAAATTGCTACACAATTAAGCCAATACGTTTGTACAATTGGAATCAACCAATAAGACACATTCAAAATTGCCCACAAACAGTAATACAATACAAAAATGATTCAAAATGAAGATAACCCCGAAAGTTCAGGACTTGAATTTTTAATATCCCCATTAACTGAACCTTGAGGACAGATAGCATTTTGTCAAAAACTTAATTACAAATTTATTCGAAAAAGGAGAAAGTCCGTGCACAAAAGAATTTTCCGATGTAAAAATTAAAAGACAACTTCTTGACCACTATCTCAAAGGTATATGTAGTCTCACATTACAAAATGGAATCTACACAATAGAAATTAGATCACCAAATGCATTCCATGACAGATATCTCATCCAAACTGATGATGAAGATTTTGAATTTTCGAAAATTTTTACACAATACATCGAAAGCATACAACATCAAAACTCACAAAGAGCAAACTCTATATATACAAATGATGTATTCTCACTTATCTATAGCTATTTATCTATAAAAGAACTAAATGAACCTCAAGGCGATTCACCTACTCAAACATCTCGATATACAATTGTACGACAGGAAATACACCTATACATCCGAGAAGATCTAACTAGAAATAAAATAACACAACATAATACAAAAAATCTTAGCATGGTTTATAATCGATTATTTTAGTCACAATCTTGATCTCATTGAACAAGCAAGAAAAAAATTTCGACCACAAAATACAGATGACGAAACTGTACTAGCAGAACAATCAGATTATGTTTGTGACACTGAATGGTCTCATGAATCATTTATTATTATCCCAATAGATATATCAAGCCAAGCAATTAACACAATATCTATTCACAAAGATTATGTTAGAGTTTATCCACTTAAGTTGACGCAACACCTTTAAATTATAATTCATTTTTTCCTGAAAGAACAGGAAATAATAGCTTAAATTCTACGTTTATAAATCATGATAATTTGAAATGAACAAGAAATCTTACACAACAAGAAGTACAAACCCCATCACTTTTTGCAAACGAAATTGTTGAAACAATAACAACAACAGAAGCACAACGAAGTCATCCATGCATCGATTCTACTGACTTAGCGATCGTTGCAGAAGCGGATTTGCGCTGTGATGGTTTTTTGTCCGAAAAAAGTTGTCGTCACAAGTTGGTAGTTTCCACTAGCTTTTGGTCTTGGCTACTGAATGTTTCTTCAGTTTTGAATCTTCGAAATACACAGCGACATTTTTTTGGGTTGTTAATGCGTTTTGGGTTTGCTGACAGTTCATGGCAGTACTAAGTTTTGATTTTTGTCTGTTTCCGAAATATGTCATTTTTTGTGTTTATCCTTGATGCGATCTTTTGTGGCACAAATTTTTTTTTAATTTTTCAGGACCCTGTGTGGCTAGTTAAGTTATCTTGATGTGTTCAATATTGTACCATTCATCAGTTCTACTGGGTTAGCGATCGTTGCAGAAGCGAATTTGCGCTGTGGTGGTTTTTGTCCGAAAAAAACTGTCACAGTACTGGCAGTTTTTCTTTCTTTTTGGTCTTGACTAATAGATTTTCCTTGTTTTCATAAATTTGTGAGACAGAGCTGCCTTTTTGCGGTTGATAAAGCATTTTTTACTTGTTGATGTAACATGGGAGTGCTTAAAAATTGATTTCAGTTTTTTTCTGTGGAATCATGTCTTTTTATAGGTCTATCAGTGATGCGGTTTTTCTCGTTACAAGTTTTTCCATTTTTGATCACAGTGTCTTGCTGATATTATCATTTCAATGTGCTCGTTTTTATTCCTTTATTCAAAGTGACTGGGGTAGCGGTCGATTTTTTAGCGAATTTGGGCTGGTGTGTTTTTGTTTCAATAAAGTTATCACAAATTGGTAGTTTCCACTAGCTTCTGGTCTTGGCTACTGAATGTTTTTTCAGTTTTGACTTCTTTGAAATACACAGCGACGCTTTTTTGGGTTTTTAATGCGTTGTGGGTATACCGAAGACTCATGGGAGTACTGGGTTTTGATTTTGGTTTTCGTGTTTCTGAAATATGTCTTTTTTTGTTTTCATCCTTGATGCGATTTTTTGTGGTACAATTTTTTTTCATTTTTCAGGACAGTGTGTGGCTAGTGAAGAAATCTTGATGTGTTCATTGTTGCTCCATTTATCGATTCTACTGACTTAGCGATCGTTGCAGAAGCGGATTTGCGCAGTGGTGATTTTTTGTCCGAAAAAGTTGTCGTCACAAATTGGTAGTTTTCACTGGCTTCTGGTCTTGGCTACTGAATGTTTTTTCAGTTTTGACATCTTTGAAACACACAGCGACATTTTTTTGGGTGGTTAATGCCTTGTGGGTATGCTAACGGTTCATATGAGTACTAAGTTTTTGATTTTGGTCGTTATGTTTCTGAAATAAGTCATTTTTTGTGTTTATCCTTGATGCGATATTTTGTGGTACAATTTTTTTTCGTATTTGAGGACATTGTGTTGCTAATTAAGTCATCTTGGTGTGTTGATTGTTGTTCAATTTATCAGATCTCCTGTGTTAGCGATCGTTGCAGAAGCGAAATTACGCTGTGGTGATTTTTTGTCCGAAAAAGTTGTCACAGTACTGGCAGTTTTTTCTTTTTGGTTTTGACTACCTTGAGTTTTCATAAGTTTGAAAGACAGCGCTGCCTTTTTGGGGTTGATAATGCATTGTTTTACTTGTTATTGGTACCTGGGAGTGCTTAGTTTTTGATTTCACTGTTTTCAAATATTAACAGCTTAATTGTACAATCTGACTTATGCAGAAATGTCAACTTTTAAGGCCACCATCGGAATCTTATATGAGATGACTGGGTCGGAAGTCAGCCAATCGATGGCGCCGAGAAGCACATTACTGCCCTATTTTACATCGTAAATCAGTGCAGTATTCTGCTTCTGAGCGCCGTCGCTTGGCTGACTTCTGACCCAGTAATCTAATATATGATTCCGATGGTGGCCTTAAAAGTTGATATTTTTGCATTCGAGTAGTTCTGAATTTGGATCAGAAATCATATCAATGAACATTAATTTCGTATGTGTTGAATATTTTCTGTTTTCTCGCACGTGTAAAATTTTGTTTTTTATAGGAAATGATTTTAAGCTGATGACAGAACTTGCGGATCACAACTGGAGTGTTTATGCTTGGAGAATGTTTCCATCAGGAAAACAGGTTTTTTGGCGTTTGAGACAACTCCTCCCTTATGGTTTTGGTTCATCTAGAAGTAGGCTTAGGAAATTTTTGCTCTCTCAAGAGTTGAGAGATTTGCCTACAGATAATGAAGAGTTTGAGGTTCCAACCTCAAAACACTCTTATTTTTCTGTTGATTCTCTTCTCTGTTCAGAGATTGCACGTCTTATGGGTAAGTTTAAACGCTAATTGAGCCTCATTTGAGTTTCCAAAAAAAGCTTATCTTACAGTTTCCATAAATGAAAAAATGCTTATCGTACAATTTCCATTTATGAAAAAATGCTTGTCTTACAATTTCAATTAATGATAAAATGCTTATATTACAATTTCCATTTATGAAAAAATGTTTATCCTACAATTTCCATATATGAAAAAATGTTTATCCTACAATTTCCATATATGAAAAAAATTTTAATCTACATTTTCCATATATGAAAAAAACGCTTATCCTAGAGTTTTTTAAACAATTTTCTGAGTCTATGAAACTGTAAAAAATTGTAGGACAAGCTTTTTTTCATAAATGGAAATTGTAGGATAAGCATTTTTGGTCAACCCACGCTAAGTTGCAGTTGAAATACTATCTACAATTTAAAAAAAGTGCTTAACCGTTCTCAAATCAAGCAATATTTTTTTCGATGTCTTGACCAAAAACAATGTGAGCGACTTTTTTCAAATGCTCGAGCAAAATAACCACTGGAAAATATGTAAGATTTGATCGGTTTTTTTAGACAATTAAACTCAAAATCTTGCTTCAAATTAGGTGAAAAATCTCGGCTCGGGTAAAAGAATTTGTCTTCATTTAGTGGCTCAAAAACTATTTCAAATTGAAATCATGCAACCATATTAGTCCAATTACTACATTACAGTTAGCCAAGTTTGTCATTTTGCATTTGATTTTGCGCTGTTGGAGGGAGGGTTTACTATTATAAATTTGACAAAAGTTGCAACATACTCTCCAAAAGGCAGTCAAAGCCCTTCGGTTTCCGTCCTTGTACCAGCACCTTTCCACGTTTTTTAAGTTTAACTAGAGGCCTGCCCCGAAGGTTAATTTTTTAAGGTTAATTAAGCTATGGGCCCTGCAAGAGCTCACCTTTTAAATTGTTTCCCATTTAATTTTTAATTTTTTTCCAGATGTGTTTTTGAATCTTTCAAGTTTATGATACTGTATTTTTACAACACTTCAAAGCGATGTAACTTTTCCATTGAAGAAAAGCATTATCATAAAACACCAAAAGTATTCTTAATTGTCTTTCGGATAGTTGTCTCGTTTGGAATATACGTCGCGTCATGTTCCATGCCCTTTAGTTTGAGTATAATATATAACTTTCTCATTAACAACATTTTGATGCGATACTTAGTCTTGTATATTTAGAACATCACATCAAATCATTAAAAGGATAGAAAAGCAAGTCATTATGAATAACTTTGAACTCTTAAATTGGGTGTTTGCTTTTTCCTTTTGGTCCCTGCTTTCACCAGGAAGAAGTACTTCGTCTGATTTCAAATCTTCGCTAATTCAGAACATTGTTCATGGGAACCCATCCCCCCTCCGACCTTTCTTCATCCGTGTTCAGGTAAATGCATATGCTATATTTGCACGTCACGGATTAAAGTTTCAACTTTATTTGAAATCCTAGTTCACAAATGAGAAAAGCGTAGACTTGCAGCAGATGTAAAGGGGGGATGCTCTCTTTCTTCTCTTCACGAGCTCGACCCGTTGCCACGCAAAGGGTACCCCTTTGGTACTGTTTTATGGCATGCAAAAAAAAGCGTAGATCTGTGCCTGCTCGTAGAATAGGATCATCTCGGACAAATTCAATACTCAGACAAGTTTTAACTGTTTGCTCATAAGAATTTTTTGTTTTTACGCGGGCCGAGGTGCGAACTTGGCAAAGGGAACCGCAATGGAACCAGATATAAACTAAATTTATTATTGGTTAATTGGATATTTTATCTCTATAAAATATTTAATATTAACCAATCACGATCCATCTAACTAACAATCCACTTATTTGTAAGTGCTGAAATTACTTGTAATTTCAGCACCAGAGAGATTTGAATTTAACTTAGAAATTTATTACCTCTCCAAGAGAACTTTAGTAATCGCAATAAGCCAGTATACTCTAGATCTATTGAGCCTAGCAGAGACTAGTTAAACACCCTGAGACTCGTAGAGATAAGAGTAAGATTAGGATGGGTATAAGACTAAGAGGTTGCACGAATCTATCCGGCCGAAAATAAGACAGCGTGACGAGCAGACGGTGTACCCTATCCGAAATTACTCTATGATTTAAACCTAGAACATAACTCATTTGGTGCGACCATACGTCTCGATCAAGTCATTAAAAACAAATTAGCTTAGAACTAACAGATAGATTAGAATTAGACAAAAATTTTATCAAAAATGTTACATGAAAATAATCTAATTGAAATGTCTCTACGACTCAATAGATCAGAACCGCTATTCCGCACAATACTAGAACTACCAGGCATTGGAAGAAGACCTTGGACAAGAGACGATCTACGACTACGATGGAACTTACCATTAAGTTTCATGGTCGTACGGCAAAAGCCAGACCAAACTTTTGTATTTAGGATTTTTTTAACAAAGAATTTAGATTTTCATTTGCAAACATAGAAACCTCGAAGAAAAATCTTCAATGATTACTACAGGCGCTAAATCCTGTTTACTACTCTACAATAACGATTTATAAAAACACCTCAAATCGTTTCCTCTAATTCTGCAGTGAAATTTAAAAAGATATCTGAAAAATATATTTATTGAAAGTAAAAATAAAATTTAGTTGACATAATCATTAATTATTAGTATATATAATTATCCTGACATCCCCAGTTTCATCACCTAAACGTAACAGCAATCATTTAAACCACTAATATCATCAAACACTAAAATCTTTTATCAATAAATAAAAATTATTTTTAAAGACTTACCCAAATGTTTACCTTTCTTTCATTTCAATTTGTTCAATCTTAAGCTAGATCATCAAGGTTTTCCTTGGATCGCCATTAAAAATAAAATTAAACCTGTTTTATACCATAAAAAATTATATTCTGATCATCAAGGCCTATCCTTGGATCAAACAGAACAATTTTGTTCTCTCCCACCCAATAATAAAGTGTCTAACGACCTCAAACGTCGATTCACTACCCAAACCTTTCAAATACCCAGGACTAATAGAAATTTTTCAATCACACTAACCATTCAAATTAAGCTAAAGTGTGAAGAACTTCGGTTATTCATCCTTCACTTAATCCCCCCTCTTACCTGACCCAGGCTAAATCTTAAATCTTAGTAGGTATCAAAATAGTGTCTAACGAACTACTTGTGTTCTAATTATACCTGAACCTTGTAGATCTTACTATTTTCCAACCCTTGAACACAATCACTACCCCTACAGTAAGATTAAGTATGTTAACACCTTAACTTAGAATAGCCACGAGAAAGTAAAAATCATTCTTCGGAATCGATATATACTTTTCTCTCCAACCCTACATAAAAGACCCAAGTTAGGCTAACCAAAAAATCGTAAGGACTAACAGTCTAGGATTTTAAAATCACTAATAACAACCTTGCACCCTTCATCCTAAACCTTATGTCACTGAACAATTTAGGGAAAAAAACAAACAATCGTACTACACATTTGTAAAATAAATAACGAAACATACGATCTTGTAATTACACCGCACAAACAAACAATCGGATATATTCGCACAAAACGTCAGACAATAAAAAAAAAAATTTAAGTGAGCAAAGACAAATTACACTAAAAAGATTTTCAAAGCGTAGAAACGCAGTCTCTGAATCAAAAGCCAACAGTTTAGATGCACTTTACAAATTAAAAGACACAGTAAACAAAAACCACTCAGCTCGCAATCAATTAGAATTTTCCGATTCAGAAGCTACATCACATTCATCAAAACAAGGAAAAAGAAGAATAAAAAAGATATACAAAAATAAACCAGTACGTTTATACAGTTGGAACCAACAAATCAGACACATTGAACATTACGCACTGACAGTCATAAAACGAAAAAACGAGTCAAAGCCCAAGTGACGAAAGTCCGGACGAAGACTCTGTTTTCCCATTTATCATCATTTCACTCACTGAAGACAAAGGACCAATACAATTTTGTCATAATCTAATCGCAAATATATTTGAACAATGAAATAGCCCATGTAAAGCAGAATTCCCAGAAATAAAAATGAAAAGACAAATTATCAATCATTCTACAAAAGGAAAATGTAACTTAACACAACAATATGGAATTTACACCATAGAACTCAGTACAGCAAGTAAATTTCATGGCAAACATGTTATCCAAAAAGATGATGTCGATATAGAACTTTCAAAAGTATTCACAGAATGCATTAAAAATATACAACATCAAAATTCACAGATAGCAAATTCAATTTTCACTAACGATGTTTTTGCAATAATATATAATTATTTATCTATACTAGAAAGAACAAAAACCGAAAGCACATCACCGGTTCAAACCTCAAGACACACAAATGTACGAAATGAAATTAACGCATTCTCAGCGTTTTTAAACACAATTCGTGAAAATTTTTCTAACAATGAAATTTCATCAAATGTTAAACACGATTTACAAAAAATCTTAGCATGGTTTATAATTGACTTTTTTACCCACAATATAGATTTAATTGCACAAGCAAGAAAAAATTCTAGACCCCAAAGTACAAATGATGACACTGTCATTGCCGAACAATCAGATTACATCTGAGACCCTGAATGGTCTCATCCACTATTTCTGAACATTCCAATAGATATCTCAAGTCAAGCAATAAGTACAATAACTATTCACAAAGATTATGTAAAAGTAATTCCACTTACAATAGATGCAAGACCTTTGAACTATAATTCGTTTTTACCTGATAGAAGACAAAATGATAGTTTAAATTCAATCCTTGTACAACAAGAGAACTTAAATGGAACTAGAAATCTTACACAACAAGATAATCAAACACCATCACATTTTATAAATGAAGAAATAGTTGAAACAATTGTAACAACTACACAGCAAAGTATTTGACCTATACATCCAAACCTTACAACGCCAAAACCAAGGACTTCAATATTACCTCACGTAACATTGCAATCTACGGTTAAACCCTCGGTTGCTCCCAAATATTCACATATGGATTACCAAACATTTAGACCAATGACGAAACCACCACAAAAACAAAGAATATTCACCAGAACTAATTTTGCAGAACAAAATTATAACTACGTAAATAGATCACAAAAATCTAAATCTCCTCGTACAAACCCGCATAATCGTTCCTTTCCACAACGACAAAAATTCCAACAATAAACATCAAATTTCGTAAATTTCAATGATAACCCACGAAATCGAACAGACCCAAGTGAAAACTATCCATTTTTTGAACAGAAAAAATAGTAAACAGCCCTACCAAATTAAACCAAAAACACCTTACTATACACCTAATTATCATTCATCACATGATGACGATGTTAATGACCAAAACCATCAACAAAGTTTTCAAAACCAAAGACTCCACTCTTATCACGTAAATCAACCAGATATTTTTGAACCATATACACGAGAACAACATATGCGACAACCTAGATCAAATCACGAACCTCAAAATAATAATTTTTAGTCACAAAACCCAGCAAATACTGATTATTATCAACCAACGCAAATGCAAAACGAAATACCACTACCATATTATTTGCAACAACATGAAATAACAAAAAATCAACTGACAAAATTTTCACAAATGCCAAATGCCGCAGAATCACTACAAATGACTATGAATCCATACCTCATGGGTAGATCATTAATAACATCAAATAAACCACTAATTGTATTCACAGGCACAGACCCTGTATAGTCTGTAGAAGACTATTTAAATGCAGTCACAGCAAATTTAATTTTGAATATCGGACCTGAACTAATTAATACACCACTCCATCAAAATTGGATACATAGAAGGACAGCGTTAATCCAAACAACACTTGATGGCGCAGCTCAGAAATGGTTTTCAGTTTTACCAATAGACATAAAAACAAATTGGAAAAGATTTATACAAGAATTTTCAAAAATGTTTGATTCTGAAAGAAATAAACAATACCAAAGAGTTTTATGCAATTAAATTCGCAGACTATCAAACGAAACATTTAAACAATTGGCAGTTAGAATCAAAACACTAGTTCGAAAAGCATATTCACTGAACACTCATGATTATAAAAACACAAAAATGACAGAAATTTTAATGATGACTCTAACACCCCAATTAAGAAAAATAAAAATAAAAAAGAGAGCATCACACCCCTCATCAATTCGAGAACCAGATTTAGATTTTAGGAAACTAGTTGACAAACTAGAACAAGCAGAAACCACAATGAAACTCCAAGAAACAGAAAATCTTAAACAACAATACGTTAATAGAATCGAAACCAATACTACACATATAAACAACATGCACGATTCAGATGTAGACCTTACTGAAAAAATTACTGAAATTTTGAACATATATGAGAAAAATCCCAATTTCAAAGGTAAA